ATAACCAACCTTGAGAAAGAATTTATTCAATTCAATTTGGAATTTCCTGTTGATTAGGTGGACTCAGATGTTTGGCCTCTGTTGACACGTAGGCTCTGTTTGCAAAGGTCTTGTCGAAGGCTGTAGATTTAACCTGAAATGATGGATAGTGATCGACAGTGAGAAATCCTGAATGGGAATTTCGTCCTATTTGGGGCTCGTCAACTAGCTGGATGTATTTTTATTCCCCAGTCACCCGCATCCACACAAGGTGCTAGCGTGTCAACAGAGGCAAAACACTTCTGTCCAATCAATCAATGGATAAATCAAAATTGAATTAAGTAATAACGGACACCCTTTGCACAAGAGGTGACTCTTGTGACTAGAGTGGTCGAGTTAATGAGGCTTTTCCGTTTGAAATAATGGGTGCTGAGTTTAGGCCTCATTGGGAACAACATCACTCACCCATCCAGCTAGATGCCGAATCTCAAATAGGACGAAATCCTCATTTTAGATTTCACCATCCACGAAAATTGAAATTGACTTTGTTTATACATAATGCATGAACAACACAACAGAGAAAATTACTTTTTGTGATAAAGATTATTCCTGTCACTGTTTCCCTCTCTCTGCCTTTAAAATTAACCTCAGTTTAATTTTTACCATATGGTAATTCATTTATTCCCTAATCGTGTGAGTGTGTGTGTGTGTGAGGGGGGGCGTGTGTAATTAAATTCACACGCACATACACTCCTGTTTCTAGTCACAAACACGCAAACACACACACACATACATACATACACATCCGCGCACCACCAAAGTGCGCTAGTACACAGATCCTTATGAACGAAACATGTGTACATAAAGACTGAACACCTGTTTCATGAATTATTATTATTATTATTATTATTATTATGAAATAATTTTGAGGCAAAAACAAGAACTGATTTCCCCGTCGAATAAATTGCCAAGGATGTAAGTGAGGTCTGCGGAAAAGGCGTAATTGGGATGAAGAAAACACAATACAAGGCCTTTATTTAGAAAAATAATTACACCATCACTACTATGTCTTCTTTTCTTCTGCTTGACATCTTGACTTTTAAAAAAAGAAACGATTTTATGACACATAGATTTATAATTATTAATGAGTGAACAAGTTGTAGTTATTTTTTTTTATTTCAAGTCGGATTATGAAGTAACACTTTAGATAGTGGACCACAGAAAGCTACTACTGGCGTATACACTGGACAGATGTTGCTTCTCAGCAGTTTGTGATTCATTGGAAATACACACACACACACACCGCCAGATTTCTAACCTCCGAGTTCCCTCGGGTTACAATGGCTAGCCGATGAAATTCAACTTCTATTAGTTCATGATTTTAGCACAACCAGCACCAGGTAATATCATCCGCGGAGAGTATTAGTCATCTCTCAACCAGATGGACCCCATTGATCCTGACTTCTCACTAGAAAGACCACCAGTCAATGTGCTCGGATTAAATTTCAAGCGTTTTTTTTTCTAGGGATTTAATTTGTTTCCGGTACGACCACAGATCAATATCATTTAGAAAATCATTGAAAATCATCAGGTGGCTGACTACAGTATGAAGTTTCCTGTAGTTCTAGAGCGAAGTCGATCTCAATGAGGTAGTTCCAGTCAAACACAAGGACAAATACTCGATGATGATACAGGTTGGTGCTGGTCGCGCTGAATTCAGGAATTTTTGCGTCGGTGGCACAGTGGTTAGGACTATCGCCGACCATGCACATGGTCCGGGGTTCGAGCCCACGCCGACGCACACCTGATATCTATGGTCGGGCTGCAAAATTTGGGCTACCGATATCCATGCTGAAAATTCCATACTTGTACCGAAAATACAGTGTGGAATCAAGCTGTAAATCAAAAATAAAATAAATAAATAAATAATTGGTTGGCCAATGAGTGAAGATCCCAGTGACTGTATGATCTATTAGCTTGAGTGAAGAAATATTTACTTTTCAATTAGATCCTCATCTCTCTCTGGCTCTACTCTAATATATTGTGTATAGCATTTTTATTACAGTACACACAACAGTTTACCAACCAAGTGGCACTCATATGTTTATTAACAACAATTAGTCAGTCAGTGTCAAAATGTCAATGGGTTGATAATAAACGAAGTAAATCAAAAAGGTAGAAATGGTTAGAATAAATTAATTTTACAAGGATAACACGTAATTAAAGATGAAGTGGTCAAAATAAATAGAAAATAAAATAATTTGGACAATTATAATTTTTTAGAGGTTTAGGGGGAGGGGGCGAAGTAGTTCGGTTTATGCATTCATGTAACGATGGTCAAGGTAAGGAAAGCGGCCTTATAAATTTCTTCTGAACACACAGGTTTGGCTGGCTTCTTCAGGTGGATTTCTACTGCTTCAGCTGTCTGTAAAAGATGAACTCGTAGAGCAAAATTAAGATTAGTAGGAATGCGATAAATAATTTCAAATGCAGTATTAACGTCAACCTTATGCTGACTATCTACAAGGTGTGCTAAAATAGAGCTACGAATAGATCTTGTTTGTCCTTTGCTTAACCATGCTGGATGATGTTTGGAAAACCGATGATAAACCTGCCTAATTGTAGGCCCAATGTAGCTGGCTCCGCAGCAGCAGTCAAACTGGTAAATACACATAGAAGAGGCAAATTTAAGTAGTTTATCCTTATTTCTCGAACGTAGAAGAGGGGGTGGTTGTGAAGAGACAACGTATCTCTGCTGCATAATAATTTCTTCGTTAATTATCAACCCATTGACATGTTGACGCTGGCTAATTATTGTTAACAAACATATCAGTGCCACTTGGTTGGTAAACTGTTGTGTATTGTAATAAAAATGCTATACGTGTATATTAGAGTAGAGCCAGAGAGAGATGAAGATCTCATTGAAAAGTAAATATTTCTTCGTTCAATCTTTCTGTTTTCTATATGTCTAAATGGGGATTTTTCGCTATTAGCTTGTCTCTTAACTGGAAGGTCCTGGGTTAGAACCCAGACACTGGGTGCGTACTTCTGATGAGTCCCCCCAAAAGAGAGACTTTTGTTTTCGGCAAAAGTATTAACTATGCTTGTTTGTTTCTTAGTCAGCTATATTATTTTTCTGATTAACTTTTGAAGGGAAGCCAAAATTTCTTGGTAGCTCACGAAGTGTCTCAAGTTTAGCGAACCTACTGCACATAACTAAATCATAAACATTTAAAAATTGTTTCACAGTTGAAGCTGAGATTTACATTAACAGTAATCTGCTTCAACTACATGCCCTGATCTAGCATTGGTGCCTACAACCTGATTGACTAGAACTTTCTTCTCCTAACACTGCATCGAGACACACACTGTCATTTAACATTTAACTAACTGAATCAATAATAATTATAACAACTGAGAATAATGGAAAAATAGGACTAGTGAATAATGCTTAATATCCCGAAACCATGGGCGCACGAATCAAGTTCCCGCGTGAACGTCATCACCCGTCGAAGATGCTGATACGTCAAGCTAATGATGATTCACAAGTAAAACTAAACTAAATACACAACTTGGCTTCCACTGCTACTGGTTACAGCATTTCATGATTGAGTGTTTCGTCCCAGTTTGGGGCTCGTCATCAGTACGGACCCACAGGATTTAGAACCCAGGAACTCCTGGTTACAAGGCAAGCTCGTAGACCATTAAGCCACTGGCATATAAGCCACGGAACAGCTGTCCATGCAGGTAGTCCAATGGTTCTCTAACCAATGTCAGCTCATGACGAAATCCTGTAACCAATCAATCAAATCCTTACAAACTAATATTTGAATATCCGCTGCTATTAGCTATCCAAACGCTTTTTGCATTAAAATAAAGTTTGCTAAAATCTACAATTAAAGTGGATTGCAAAGATATCTTTTCGGCGATTTCATTCTCAAAAGCATCTATACAATCGCATTTATATAGATTATTTTATATGAATACTATTCTTATTTGTTTAATTCCACATAGTAACGAAGGTGATAATAATTTTCAACCTGATATGAAAGTTTGAAGGTACGAATATAGATTACAAGGGGCTTAGAGACAAGATTGCATAGGATTAGAAAACAGTTACAAATTTTCAGTCATAAAACTAGTTATTTTAAGTTTGTTTCCATGCTCTTCCTGACCACACTTGTAATCCGTCTGGAATAACCATTTTATAATTATATTCTAATCCTGTGTAATTTTTTTGTTTCTATGCCTCGTGTAATCTATATTCACACCTCCTAACTAATATTTCAAGTTGAAAATACTTGATTTCAATTTGTTACCATGCTCATTTGGTTCACACCTGTAATTCGTCCTATCCTTGCGTCTCTACGCCTCTTGTAATTCATATCAAGTTGAAAATAATTATCACCTTTTATTCGCCTTCAAAATTATTTCTCCAGTTATCAAATATTAATTTTTGCATTCATTGTAACTAGTTTCTAATCCTATGCAATCTTGTCTCTAAGCCCCTTGTAATCTATATTCATTTACGCCTTCAAACTTTCATATCAAGTTGAAAATTATTATCACCTTCGTTACTATGTGGAATTAAACAAATAAGAATAGTTATTGAATTGAATTCTTGATTTTCCCGTCGATTGATTGGACCGAAGTGTTCGGTATCAGGTTGACATGTCGGCTTCTTGTGCAGATGCTTCGACTGAGAAATGCAGGTACATCCAGCTGACGAGTCCCAATTAGGACGAAATGCGCATCCTGGATTCCACTGCTAGCCACCATCCACCAATTGTAAATAAGAATAGTATTCATGTAAAATAATCTATATAAATGCGATTGTACAGCTGCTTTTGAGAATGAAATCACCGAAAAGATCGCCATCTTTGCTGAACTTCGTCTTCTCTTCTTTCTAGTGCCCATATGGGTATTTTCCACGGACTAAAAATGGATAGGATTATCACGTTCTTAATTATTCCAACTCTATTGTTATTGTTGTTGTTGTTATTTGTGTTGCTGTTTTATAGTTGATATTGAAGAAATTCATGAAGTTCAACTGGGCTGTTCATCAAGAACAACACATTCACTTGGTCGAAAACGTCCACTTAGTTTAACACCAACATTATCATATAGTTTTTTATCCTCGACAGGATCAGGTAGTCTGATTCAAACAGCTTCACGTAATTATTCAAATAATAATTCAAATTCATCATTAACAATTGGTTCAATGTCACCACAATTACAAAGTTCAACATCATTAAATTCTGCTATACTGAATCTTAGTTCTAGTGCATTTACAATATGTTATGGTGCAGATTTTACTGTGCTAGAGATATTAGCTTCAGGTCCAGAAGAAGCAAATATTTGGGTAACCGGGCTAAAATGTCTTATGGCTGGTGCACAAGGTAAGATGAGTATATATTTATCATGACAGAATAGATATTATGATCTACCCGTTGTTTAACATTTTATTCTGTACATAATTGTCATTTTAGTAGGCATGTGTTTTTATACTATTTTGAGGTTATCAGAGGTCGTCTGAATGTAAAAATCCACCTGGTACTGAAAAGGAGGATAGTGACACAAAAGACAACTCAATGCAAAGGTTGACAACGCTGGATTCAGGAGAAACGAGTCATGTACTGATCGAATCGCCACACTACGGATCATCATTGAACAAAGCTTGGATTGGCAGTCAACTCTCTATCTCAACTTTATCGACTTTGAAGAGGCTTTTGATAGCGTTAATCGAGACGTGATTTGGCAACTACTTTGCTACTACAGGCTGCCGCCGACAATTATACATATCATACAACAGTTGTACGACAATGCTGCATGCTAAGTAATCCAAAACGGGAAACTTACGGAATCTTTTGAAGTAAAGATGGAAGTAAGACAAGCTGGCTGCCTACTGTCTCCAATGATTAATTTCCTGATTGAGGTAGACTAGATAATCCGACAGACAGTAGGCAACTAGGAGACAGGCATAAAATGGATCCACACAAAAACCTAGAGGATCTGTACTTCGCCGATGATACAGGTCTAATTTCACACAAACTGGAGGTTTAAACCGACAAGTTGGCTGAGGAAGCATCCAGGGAAGATAAGACTTCAAGTGAGCATAGATAAAACAGGTGATGCAGATTCCTGGCCAACACCAACAGCCACAGCAACAACAACAGACAACAATCAGCTAGCATAAATGGGGGAAATCTGAAAGAAACAACCTCCTTTACCTACCTGGGACTCATCGTTTCAACTACAGGCGGAACTGACGAGGATATCAAAGCAAGAATCGGAAAAGCAAGACAAGCTTTCATTACTCTCAAGCCTGCGTGGAGGTCAACGTCACTCAGCATGAAAAACAACATCCGGATATCCAAATCCAATATGAAGTTAGTGCTGCTACACGGATCTGAGAGCTGACGCGTCACGAAGGCCACTTCGAACAAACTACATACCTTCATCAACAGCTGTCTGCGCTCAGTACTACTCAAGATCAGATGGCCAGAAAAGATCAGCAACAGGGATCTCTGGCAATGAGTGAACCAATCAGGAACCGATTGTGAAACAAATAGGCAGGAAGAAATGGAGATGGATTGGCTGGCCATACGCTGAGGAAACCATCAAGTGACATCACTAAACAAGCCATCACTCGAGTAGAACCTGAAAGGGAAGCGGCAAGTTGGTCTTCCAAAGGTGACTTGGAGGAGGTTATGTGAAAAGGAGATGAAAGCATGTGGGCAGACGTGGAGCCAAGTGAAAACTTTAGCAGAGAACCGAAAGCAATGGAGATGTGAGGCTAAAGCCTTATGTTCCTTTAGGAATAAAAGGAAATAGTACTACAACTAATAATAATAATAATAATAATAATAATAATAATAATAATAAAGGTTGACAACAGAAAGTGACGCTAAGTTCACTGTACACCTCATAAGTGAAGAAGACTTCTAGGAAGGACAAAAGATAGTTCTATGAAACACTGTTAACTGAAGTAGAACAGGTGGCCTCAGGTAAAAGATATCTCAGAATCATACATCAGATAATCGGGTCTCAGTACAGGAACATATCAACGCATTTGAAACTAACAAAAGATGTTCAAAGGAACCTAATTACCAAGGAGGAGAGACAAACAAAACAATGGGCTGATCACTTAAAGTAACGCTTGAATCGACTATCACCATCAGCTCGTCTAGAAATACCGCCAAAAGCATGAACAATACTGTCAGTGGACATTAGTCCTCAAACAAAAGCATAAGTCTTGAATGAAATCAAGCTGCTGAAGTCCAAGTAGGCAGCAAGACCAAACTCGATTCCTCTCAAAGTACTCAAAACGAATGCAGAAACCCTAGTAAACATGCTCATAGATCGGAAAAAAGGCCACCTTGTCAAGCTACTGAAGAAGAGTGACTTACACCTCTGCAAGAGCTGGCGTGGAATAATGCTTTTGTCCACAACAAGCAAAGTAGAGAGTTGCAGCATCTTGGGGAAAATAAAGGATGTACTGGATGCAGAACTCCGCCAACTGGAATAAGCTGGATTATGGGAAGGCAAATCATGTGCTGATCAAATAGCAATTCTACGCAACAGAGTAAAGAATGGCAGGCAAATCTCGACCTCAAAATCATGGGCATTGCAAACGCTTTTGATAGAGTTGACCTAGAAGTAATTTGGAAACTACTTCAATGCTATGACGTCCCACAGATCTCTATCAACCTCATTCAACAGTTGTATGATAGCGCCAAATGTCAAGTGATCCATGAAAACAAACTCACAGAGGCGTTTGAAATAAATACAGAAGAAAGAGAAGGCAATCAGCCCACTATCACTAATGATATTTAAAATTGCGGTGGACTGCTAAGAGCTAGGCCATAGCAATACGTTGGATCGATACAAAGACTCTAGGAGATTTACACTTCACGGATGACCTATGTTTGATATCACAAAAACTACATCTGAAGGTGGAAACAAACACCGTGGCATAAGAAACAACGAATAAAAGACTTCCAGGAAACATAAAGATGAATGTTTCGGCCTTAACAGAATCTACCTGAAGAATTACTCCATATTGAATTGAAAGTTTAACAAATGCTTCTTGACAGCTACAGTATTACTGTAGATAATTTTTATTTTAACACCAAATAAGTCCTTTTTAATGAATAGTTTATAATGGACCTCACATCCTGATCAGAGTGAGTTAAAACATTTAAATTGCATCACTTCTGCCGGCTATCAGAAGCGCAAGTAGGAACAACTTCTATTACAAACTTTACACTGGCTTGAATTACGTCTTGACACTAATTATTTGTGATTAATTTCAACAGGGTACTTGTTTAATAGTGTTCAGCACTAATGATCTTAGAGCAGCAGGAATGAATAGACAACCTTTGAGTTTGTTATGAGCGAATCCCCCTAGAAACAACTATTTCTTATGCTAAAACTCTTAATAATAATAATAATAATAATAATAATAATTGCTTTATTCCAAAAACAGTACTCATGATACAGCAAGGAATTTTCAGCATTCAGTACAATATTGCATCTAATTTACCCAAAAACGACAAAAAAAATTAAAAATACACAATACATAATAGTAATAAAACGATTGTTGTAGCAGCTACGTAGCAAAATACTGTGTGCCATACGGAGAAAAATATGTATAAAGTACAAAATTGTAGTAATAATAGTAATACCAACTAATATAAAATAGCAGAGTAACGATTTAAACGATAGAAAGTGTAACACCATAAAATACAGAAAGATGAGCGATAAAAGGGTCGATTCAGTAATACTAAAAAATACTGCTGTACCTAATGCCAATGTTCTAATCTTGGAACTTGAAGATTGTAGGTTTAACCGCTACTCAGGTCATGGATGAACAATCCTGAAGAGAGACAAAACATAAAGTGGGACAGCTAGCTAAGACCTCTTGGTGTTCCCACAGTAATTCTGTAACTTATATAGGTTAGTGAAGAAGCCTACATTGTAATTGATCGAAATCTGTTTAATAATTGGCAAAGTTGAACTAAAACGATCCATTGAATGCGAGCACACAACTAACCTTGAGCCGAACAATCAGAAAAACCAGTGGTTTTTACATAAAATTGGCGATTACTTCTAAATAAAATACACAGTATAATTATACAAAACCTTAAACAGGAAAGTTTTGCCTGACGTGACTTGAAAAAATATCTTCCAATGATAATGAAGAGTATCAGTCTTTAAATTAAGCTAGTTTCCACGAAAATAGTCACTGAGTCGACTGAAGATGAGATCTTTTCGTGACTTATTCGTCGTACTTATCCTGTTTTTCAATCTTCTTCAAATGCCCTTCATTGAAATAGTATGGGTTCCACTAGGGATTAATTGACTCGATGATGAATGCGACTCCAATCTGATAGCTCATTCATTTGTATCGATATTACTGCTAATGATGACTAACCTTTGCATAAAAGGATCTCCGCACTACGATCGGGAATCACTTTTACAATTCCTTTCTGAATTCTAGTGTTGTAAATTCCCAAAAACCCAAACATTGTTTGCCCAAGGGTGACCACGATTATATGAGCGATAGCGCTCACTCTTCTCAACATTTGAGTGATAGTATTCATTTTTCAGGTCACTACATCTCTGCGATAGTGGGACCATCGTCGTACCAAAAACGTACCGAAGAGTTTTCCATCTGTACAGCCGCTGATCTCAGCCCAGCCTTTAATAAATGGTAATAGGAGATAAAGTGCATCGGTGGCACAGTGGTTAGGACGCTCGCCGACCATGCACATGGTCCGGGATTCGACTCCCGGCCGATGCACTCCTTTACCTCACTAAGCCAGAGGTAATGCTGGTAATGAGGAAAGCTTGGGCATGGGGCTAGCAACTCCATCCTGTTAAAAATAAACACTGCTACGGGAACTTCAAGCCACTAGCTTGAAGCCCTATGTTCCACTGGGAAAGTGAAAGGAAAAAAAGAGATAAAAAGAATATCTGTTAGATACAGCTTCACCTTAGAGAGGAAAGTACACGGAAATAAATGAAATGAGTGTGTAACTTACCACTAAGAACACTCATTTGTTTCCAACACTGTGTACACCTCAGTACATGTTCACCAATTGATTCTGTAAACCTTTGGATTTACACAGGAGCGGCCTGCTTAATACTTGGCCTACCAAAATTTCCATCTCCCTCTCTATTGCATATATTTTGCTCTAATTCGGTTTGTTTTATTCTGTTAAGATATGACCTACAGTAGCAGTATCTACTCTGGTGTGAATTTAAATAGTTTACAAGCTTATGATTCGTAAATTTCTACTAAGTTTGAGAAAAGGCCTGATTGGGGGATGGCGACGTGTTCCACTACAGGAGATGACTGTTATTCAGTTCTGCCCTTGGGTCTCGAAATGTACTTCTGAACATCTTACAATTGGCTTGCAACTAGATATTGTGGAAATCTTGAAGGAAGTAGACGAAGCAGATATATCATGATAGCGTGATTTGTGCTTCAGCTCCAGAGAGCATTGTCTCACACACAGGATTTACTGTCAACTAATATTTTACTTGAAGATATTCTAGGAAGGGAAAACAACATGCAATAAACTCCTTTAAAAAATTCTATCCAGAATAAAGATGGCATTATTACTATTTTTCGGCTACGTTATATCAACTTTTTATCTAAACAGTAAGTGAAAAAGGTATCGGGATTAAATTTGCACCTCATTTAGTTCAGAAACAACGTTCATTGTGGCGCTACGAAAAAATCATGGTGGGTTGTTTTTGTCCAATGACTAGTATGCGTTCAAGGACATTGATGCGTTCGCACTCCTGCCTAGACTGCTAGACTTTAACTTGACCCGCAACCCAGAAGCTTATAACTATTATTTTTATTATTATTAATACTGTTGTTGTTTTTTTGTGTTTCTTAACTTCTGATGGTGTAAAGTTCCCTCATTTGTTTTGTTTACGTTTATTTATAGATCCTCAAGTCTTAGAAGATAGACAAAAACCACGTGACAGGTAAGTAAAGTCAGTGGAATTACTAGTTGTGTACGTGACAGATATTTTTTTTTATTTTACTTCGAAAATAACAATTTTTGATTCAATAGATAAAGGGAAACAAAATAGAAATTTGAAGTAATTTAGTAGATGGTGACTAACAGTAGAATCTAGGATGCGCATTTCGTCCCATTTTGGGACTCATCACACTGGATGTACCTACATTCCCCAGTGACTGCTGGTTTTCACACTGAGTAAAGTGTTGAAAATCCTTTCGGTGGCATGCCAGCCAAGTCTTTGACCCGTATAGAGGAACTGATTAACTGACTGACTGACTTCACATTTGTGTTGAAAATCCGATTCATGTTGTTCATGCTGGCTGAGTGCAGTGAAGAAGATTTCCTTCCAAAACTGGTTTCAGGTCGATGATGAAGGCGTATGATGTCTTTCCGATTCTAGTTGTCTGGCTGGCTGGATTTGACATCGTCATCCATGGTGACTGCCTGTAGCTGGAATCGTGCTTCTGGGCCGCATAAGTGTAGGAAGTAACCTCTATGTCAAATCTCTCAATCTGATGAAGATTAGTGCTAGTTGTTGTGTCTGTTGATCGGTGAGAGATCGTGTGCGTGTGTGTGTGTGTGGAGGCGGGGGGAGCAGATAAGAGATTATGAGCAATCGTGGGTCTAGCCAGCTGAAGAGGACAGCGGGAAATGGATGAGAGTGGAAATGTTATGTGGATGCGTTATGATCCCCTTGGAATCCAAGGAAACAATAATAATGATAAATCGATCCTCATCTTATTGCTCCATTCTACTTTAACATAAATAATATTTTGATTTTACACTAGTACAACCTGACTGATAGAATTCAGTCTTCATCAAAGAGAGGACTAGACACATCACACTAGTTACTAGTGTCAAATCAAAATATCCCCTACAGTCCCACAGGAGGTCAGTGGCCAGACCAAATAGCTCAGTGTTAACGTCTCTGACTACAGCACTGGGTGATGCGGATTCGTATCTCAGAAGCGACAAGAGTTCCTTCAAATTTGCAGATACGCCTTGCTGACTGTTGAGTGCCAACTGGCACGAAACCTAGGTTCAAGGCTTCCTGTGGCCGACTGCCTCCAACCATCTAATTATTACATAGTATTTTTATTACAATATTGAAAATTTATCAATAATAAAAACATGTCAATGCAGATGACAATTAACCACGAAAAAATAAACGCAACAATTACCGAAGTAGAATTAATTGCAAAAATTAGAATAAGTGGTTACATAATGCATAAATTAAGAAATTAAGCAGCACTTTGGATTAATTAAAAAAATATGCATCCCAAACAATGTGTACACAACTCAACAGTCTTCAATCTTAGCCTACACTGGAATATCCTACTTAACAAAATGTACCTGGTTAATAATATGCCCTTTTATTTTATATAACTGATTAATTGTCAAACATTTTGTGTCAGGTTTGACCACAGACTGATGTCAGTAAGAGAGAAGCATTGAGAACTACCGAGTACTAGACAGATGTTTCGTCCCAGTCGCATGCTCATCAGAAGTGCGCACCCACCGTAAGTGTTCGAACTCAAAACTTTTCGGATATGAGTTAAACTCATAGACCTTTCAGCCACTGGGATCGAACCCACTGGCCGGTATCCAAATAAATTCTAACTTCTACGCATTCTTGATATTTTAACGTGACCACGAGTCATTCTGATGCTGACTAGTGACTGGCTACACAACGATAGTGACTAAAGTTCTAGTGGGGTCCACCAACAGGTCGATAGTGAGGACAAATGCTCGCCACGGCTGAAACTGTCTCGTGCCAGTTAAACCAATATCGCGAATTAGTGGAAGTTGGTTTTCACGGACTGGCTTTCGAGTCGGGTCCCAATTGGCTGAATGGTTGACTAGCTTAGTCTAGTAATCGTTGGGTCCTGGATTAGGACACCTATGGGCGAATGTGTACTTCTGATGGGTGCCAAAATAGGACGAAACAGCTGTCCACTACTCCCTGAGTGTTTTCAGTGTTTTGTCTTAACTGATATCAATCTGTGGTAAAACTTGAAGAAACATTATCAGCCATCAGAAAACCCACCAGTTGTCCGACAATGCCGCACAACAGGAAACTCACGGAATCTTCCGAAGAAGGGAGGATGGGAGTAAGAAAAGCTGGCTGCCTACTATCTACAATGATTTTCCTGATTGCAGCAGACTGGATAATGCGACAAACAGCGGGCAGCGAGGAAAGACACAAAAATGGAACCACAATAAAAAACCTGGAGGATCTGGATTTCACCGATGATATTTGTCCGATTTCCCACAAACTGGAAGATATGCAAGTGAAAAGCAACAAGTTGGCAGAAGAAGCATCAAAGATAGGACTTCAGGTTAACGAAGAGAAAAAAGAGTTGATAAAGATTCCTGGCCAACAGCAACAACAACAGACAACAGTCAGTATAAGTGGGAGAAATCTGAACGAACCAACCTCCTTTTACTATCTGGGAAGCATCGTTCCAACTGCAGGTTGAACTGAATAGAATATAAAATCGAGGATCGAGAAAGCAAAGCAAGTTTTCATTCTTCTAAAGTCTGTGTAGAGGTTAACAGCACTCAGCATGAAAAACAAGATCCAGATTTTCAATGTTAAGTCAGTGCTACTACACAGATTTGAGACTTGGCACATCACGAAGGCCATTTCGAACAAACTACAGACCTTCATCAACAGCTGTATTCGATCAATACTACTCAACATCAGATGGCCAACCAGAAAATATCAACACTGGTAAGGGATCTTTAGCAATGAGCGAACCACCCCAGCAGGAACTGACTGTACAGTAGATATGCAGGAAGAATCGATGTGGATTAGCCGTACTCTTAGAAAACCATCGAGTGAGTGACATCACACTACAGGTCATCGTTCGAGTGGAACCTGAATGGGAAGCGGAGAGTTAGTTGGTTGTCAATGCTGGGGTGACATGGAAGAGGTCACTTGAAGAGAAAATGATGTTAGCATGTGTCAGAGGTGGAGCCAGGTGTAATTGTTGGTGGAGAACCGAACCAAACGCAGTGGAGACGTGAGGCTGAAGCCCTAGGAAGCCTCTAGGAACTAAAGGAACCAATATTAATAACAACAACAAAGCACCCTTAAGATCATTCAGGTGAATAATTTTCTCCTGACAGCCACGATCAAACATAAACTTCCTATACCTCAAATACTATTGTGCATGTGTATGTAACGGCAGAAGACTACATAGTTGTGTACGGAATGTTTATCTGCAGTTCGATATACACATATAGAGAAATAATATATGTCGCACATTAAAATCGTCATTTATTGAACACATCTTCCGTGTTGTACCACTTCTGAGCGTCTTCTAGTGTTTCTTTGTCTTCTTTTCATATCTCCTATGTTTCACCGCAACACTAGTTCACTTCCTCTCCTTGAATCGAAATCCATATCACTCCGCTATTTGATATATCTGTTTAACGGATGAACGTCTTTTCGTATACTACTAATAAATCTTGTCAGTAGTTAACACGTCATGTAAACTTCCTATTCACCTATCCACAATTTATCTCCCTTTTCTATCTCTTTTCTTCCAGATGGTTGCAATTGATGTTTCATGAAGCCGATTCAACTAAACAAGGATATTTAAGTGAATTTGAAGTAATTCGTTTGATCAGAACAATAAATCCAAGTCTTTCGTCAACACATCTTAGGCATAAATTAAAAGTAAGTAAATGCCAGAGAGTTGTATATTATTACCATATTTTTATTATTCCCTTGCGATCCCAGTAGAACATACGGATTCTTCTATTCTTTGCCGTCTACTTCACCTGGGCCCACGCATGACCGTAATCTCTCATCTTTTACCCCAGCTGACACGATCTCCTTCCTGTCATCGTTGCTCGCACCAACGACTCACTCATCACTTCCTATTCAGATTCAACTCGAGTGATGGCATGCATTGCGGGTGATGTCATTCGACGACCTGCTCAACGTATGCCCCATCAATCCATCTCCATTTTCTCCCACATATTTGTTGAGCACATCGGGTCTATATTTATGCATTTATTGTATTCAATCTTTCATTTATTTTATTTTCCTCATCCTTTCGCGGTTCGAATCCCACTCACCGCAGGAATTTCAGCTCACAGACACATGCCAAGAAGACACTGGAGTGAGAGTACTCGTCACGTCAGCCCTCAAGGAAAGGATAAGTTGGGTTTCTGTCAGAGGGTAATATAGGGTGGATCACATGAAGAGGAGGCAAAGTCTTATAGTTGACCAAAAAGCCAGATGAAGAGGACTACAGAAAACTAGAGGAATTGTAGGTGTGCTCCTGAAGCCCTACGCCCTACTCAAAAATCAAAGGAATTAAAATTAACATGCAAACTTTGATACTAGATGGTTGTCGGTATGAGGCATGAAGTCCTGAAACTAGATTACGTGCTTATTTTGTCTGTAGTGTGATATCCTCTAGGAGATTAAAATCTGCACCACTCATTGTTTCAGTTAAATCTGTTACCAATGATCTATTCTGGTTCACAGTTGACTTTCTTTCGGACTGCAATAGATACATTGTGTCATGTATTCACTTTTTGATGTTTGTGCCGGAGGAATTCTGTCAGTTCAGTTACAGTTGTGCCTAGCTAACAAGCGCTAACAAACGTCAAAATTAATAGTAAAGTCTTCCTGAAGATAACCTCCATGATGGCAAGTCACCTAGCTTGAAAGTTACACTGAAAATGTGACTAATAGTCAATTTAGACATCACGACGAACCAGAACCATGATGTCGATTACTTTCTCGTGGCTAGTCAACCTGCTTTGTCACTTCATCGTCCAGAAATATAGATATTGGTGGAAAAATCTTGGTGATTTTCAATAAGTAATTCTACTACTTTTAATGATATTAGTTTCTGACAAAACTTTAGCCTTTGAAATTATTTATAAATCCTTATAAATCCAGCCCAAGCGTCTCAGTTGACGCGGAACTCTGAAGGTCCTGGCTTCAATCTCTGGTGAAGAGGTGTATACTACTGAAGAGTCCTGAAATCGACTGGTGATAAAATTCAGATCATAAGATTTGTTGAGTGGAGGAGGCATTTTGGATTAATTTTAAATGGAGAAACGCCGAAAATTATATTGGGGATAAAATTTATTTTGATAAGGTCTCACAGTGTGTCGTTATACAGCAGTATTAACTAGTGACCACGTTTCGAGCACAATTTATTACTAATGCTCATAATCATATCAAGGCACTACTCGGACAACTTTCTAAGTACGTTTATATAGTTCCACAATTTCTCATCTCTCGATTTGATTGATAATAATATTTCCCCCTATCTCTGGCATTTGCATTGAGTCATTCCTATTGCATGTGTTGGGTGTAGACTCGATGAACAAGGATTCCATAATCAGCCTCTTTCTCCACCTATCTAGATTACTTTTAGAATTTTAACCCTCTCCCACCCACGCTATTGTGTAGTTGTGTGTTAGTGCATGCAGTGCAATTTCTGAGTATTTTTGTAAGTTACTTATCTTCGTTGATGGAGTCAATCATTCTTACCATAGCTAAATTCTTATCTTCTGATAATCTGACTACTCTTGATCCACTGGTCTGACTTATGTGGTTGACTTCACTTACAGTCATTGCAAGGTATTTTGTGAATTATATTATTTTGTGTAATTGGGTCAACCAATAGGGTCTTTTAACCTATAGAGCTTGTCTCTGAGTGAGTTTGCATATTTGAATACCACCCTAATTCCTGCTTTACTAAGAATCCTACGTAGGGAGTATCTCAGATGTCTCTTACTTATATGGTATAACAGTAGATGACTTATATTCTCTGTTATTTATGTTATCATTTTTGGTTTCCCCATTATATTTATTTTGTTTTTGACCCTTTCTGATATTCCTAATGAATTTTATAGGATAGTTGTTAAATACCAATTAGCTATTCTTCTATGTGTGTTTCATTTCATCATTTAAATTTCTTGTTGTACTACTTAGTTTCTGAGATTTGTTTGTAAGGATTTGATTTGTTTTTCCAATTGGACCACAGACTGATATCAGTTAGAGAACCACTTAGAATCACCAGGAACTACTGGAGAAATGTTTCATTGCTATGCGTGTTTACTGCCGACGGGTCCTGAACTAGGATGAAACAGCTGTCTTCTCGCAGTACTCCCTGCCAGTTTCGGATCCTTCTCTTACTAATATCAATTCGTGGTCAAAACTCAAAGTGTTATTTATAGTGCTATTGCTTGGTTTGTTGTACACTTAACTTAGCCTGTCTGTACAGATAACCGATGAGATGGAATAATATTCTGCCCACAGTACATAAGTGTTCTATTCCTTATCTCAATCAACACTGAAAATATTGTTTAAAAAAAACACCAAAAAAAAAACTATCCCAAAGGATGAATATTTTTCAAAAAAGATTTTAGGTATCGTTTCTGTTTACTGTGTGTTCGGGTATAGAAATAGCAACACATATTACAAGACACTGTTATGTCCTATTATCACGTGACTCCCTATTTAGCTTAATTTAATTGTTTTACCACTGAAAAAAAAAATGCACACATTTCTTTTATATCGATTATGCCTGTAGTAACTGTGAAAACAGGAAGTAGGAGATAAGGTTTTGTTTTTTTGCGAATCGATTTCTCCTATACCTTTGACCGAAATCATGTGACTGGCAACTGTTGGTTTGAAAATAATTTTCATGAAAATTTTTTCAGTTTAGCTTTAGACTTGATGCGTGTTGCTGGATAAGCTAAATATTAGAGGGAATCATATGAATTGTAATCAAGATTTGATCGAATAGTTGTTCCAAACTAGGACGAAACAGTTGCCCAGTGATCCCAGGTTTTCCAGTGGTTCTCTAACTGATGTCAGCTCATGATTAAATCCTCCATGCAATCAAACGAAATCCCTAAAAGCCAATGCAGGAAAATTAATCTGATGCTCACTAGCGACTGGTGCTAATCAGGCAGTGACGTAGGTTCTAGTGAGAATCTATGACCAGTAGGGTACAGCAGGCTGAAGATGAGGCAGTAACACATCGAAGAAGACATTGCGAAATGGTCGCGCTATGTTGTGAATTATTGGCAGAAGTTAGAATTCATGCACTAGCTACTGGATCGAATACCAGTGGCCTAATGGTCTACCAGCTCGCCTACTAACCAGAAGGTCCTGGGTTTGAACCCCAGTGGGTGCGTACTACTGAAGGGTCCCAAACTAGGACGAAACAGCTGTACAGTACTCTTTGGTGGTTTCCAGTGTTTCTCTAACCGATGTCTACTCATGATGAAATCCTGTAACCAAGTAGATGTTTGTAAAAATCTCGTTGAAATACAGTCAGTTTTTTTGGCAAACTGGAACGAACTTCTTCATGCAAATTAATGCAACTTCGAAAATAACAGAGATTTATATATATAAAAAGGATACATTTTGCTTTAAAAAAGCTTTTTACGATCATATGAGTCATGGGAAAGGCATAAAAATATATTAAACAAAATTGCATGAACTGTGATCAAAATTTTACCTCAGACACATAAATATTAAATTTCTATAGTTTGTTTGTAAGGGTCAGTTTTGTTTTTACGAGTTAACCACCGACTGATATCAGTTAGAGGACCATTGAAAACCAGTATTGGAGGACTGGACAGCCATCTATTTCATTATAGTTTGAGAATCATCGGCAGTAGGCATTCACTACATGAGTTCAAATCCAGGACCTTCTGATTACAATGCAAGCTCGTATACCATTCAGTCACTGGGACCCTATTAAATGGCTCATGAATTCTAACTTCAACCAATTCGTGATTTAGCGTGACGCCCAACCAATGTCATCGATGACCATCCATCCTCGCACTTGACTGGATGAACCTCACTGGTCACGACTTCTCAGGACTCCAGGAAACTTCGTCCTGTAATTGTAAATTAGACTTTAGCTTTAACATAAGAAGATATAGAAAATCGGGAAGTTAGATCAAGTATGATTGATTAATCAAAACTCGCCATGCATCAACTAACATTCCACCTTCACGTCTGCTCACCCATATATGCAAGGCTTTTACACTCAGTCTTTCTTTATACGAACCAAAACCTTTTTGTAGAACGTTAGTCCTATCAATGTCGATCTTGTGTCCCATGTGTATCAAGTGCAGTGCAATCACCGGTAGGTATTCGAGCTTTTTCAAGTCTACAAAGGTGTTTGGAACCACCTTTAAACATTGTTTATGTTCCTTCACTGCTATATTTAAATATCTGGAAGTTTCTCATCCATATACGATGTCACAATTCCAGCAGCTGATCTGGTACACACAATTCTGTTGGTTTTCTTCTATCTTATCCTTGAACTTCACCAGTGATGTATTTAAGGTTTCCGTCACATTATATACTGTATATAAATAAATATTTTTCGTATTCATATATGTGTAAAACTTGGGCATTGTGGTAGTAAGTAATTTCGTATTATGAAGTATTGGTTTTTTAGGGATTTTCGTTTGATTGTATGGAGGATTTCACCATGAGGTGACATCAGTCAGAGAACCACTGGAAAACCTTGGGATACTGGACAGCTGTTTCGTCCTGGTTTAGGACTCTTCAGCAGTACGCACCCACCGGGGCTGGAACCCAGGACCTTCTGGCTACAAGGCGAACTCGTAGACCATCGAGCCACTGGGACCCGACCCAATGGTCCTTGAATTCTAACTTCTGCC